TGAGGTGTAATTGCAGGGTGGAAGAGTAAAATCGGAGCAGTCCAGGGTGGAGCTGAACTTCTTTTTTCTTTTTTTTTCATTTCTACATTTAGAGCTGTACTGAGGCCTTTTTCTTTTGGAAAATCATTCATATCATTTTTTCAACTCCTGCACCCAGAAGTCAGCATGGACCAGCAGCTGCAGGATATTTTTCGCAGGGTGTGGACCAAACTACAGGCTCTCCCAGAAGCAACTCCAGTGGAGGTGGGAGCCTTTGCCGTCCTCCTCCTCTTTATTGGTGAGTTTTAAGCACTGATCCATCATTCAAAATATGCCACACAAGGCGAAATTAGTGGGACAATAAAGTATTGAATTGAATTGAATATGTAAGTGGAATTACAAAAAATCATTTATTTATTCATCATGTAAATCCTCTGGTTTGAACTTCACCTGTGTATGATAAATGCTGAGTAGTTATTTCACTGCCACCTCCCTCCTGATATTGGAGTGTGGAGTGGATATAAAGTAAAGAAGTGAAGTCAGTGGCCGGTGTAATGCAAGACAAGTCGATCCAATCATAGGGGTCCATGGCTGAAAGCTCATTGTTGCTAACATGGATGACATCAGGAGCATTTCAGCAGTGGGTTGGCAGCGATGTAGCTATGCTTAGACATTTCGCCATTACTAGTAAAAGTAAACCAAAGCAGTATAGCTGCAGGCCTCACAAATAAGCCAGTAAAATAAAAGGTACTTAAATGCTCTATGTGGCAGGTGGGGAGTTCACATGTAACTTTATCATACACGGCCATCTAAACCAGAGACCTGTTGTCACAGTTTGGTACTGTTGAAGTCGACCTCAATGCAGGACTCAGGAGACAGGACTTGAACTCAGAAACAGCTTTTAATGCTGAACCGTGTCCATACAGGGAAAAAAACAACACGTAAGGTGAACAGGGAATTGACTTGGAGGAAACACACACGCAGGGAACACACTGCCACAAGGGGAGAACGCAACAAATAACAGAAGGAGACGATAAAAAACACACCTCGTGATTATGGAGATTACCAATTTGACACAGAGACAGATGATAAACACATGGACAAGATAGAAGGAGCAAAATGGGATTACAGAAGGGGATTAACAAACCTATCATCAACTAAAGCAGACAGGGAACTAATGGCAAAGAAGAACAGGAAACTTGTAAGCACACAGAGAGTAAAGATAACACCATAAGCAGAGGGCTATGGAGCTCACACACAGTTCCATCACAAAAGCACAAACACAGAATGAACCTTCAGAGCAGGAGCACTGAACTAAAGGCACTCAGGAATCAAAGGAACGAATAATAGGAAGCTAAATGTCAACACTAAAGAATACAGAGTCATAAAGATAAATAAGAGTACAAAGCTAGAGAAAACTCAAAACGACCCTGACATCTATATTACTAGGTTTTGGATTTATCCAGATAATTTTAGGGTTAATCGTGGGTTATTCAGTAATATGAAGGCAGTTTACATAAAAGGTGGGGCATATGCACGGTTGGAGATAAGAAACCATTAGGTGTAAAATCAGCAGTCAGTTATTCCATACAGTAGGTCTTTTCAAGTCTTACTGACCACTTAAAAGCACACAACAGTGCTTTTTTAATAACACACACATCCACGCTGGTTTGCCTGCAGCAGCTGTGTTTTGTGCTTGCATTTAATAATATAGTTTTATGTTCTTCTGTAAAAATCAGTCACTCTGCTGCCAGTAGACTTATCCACTTTAAAAGAACATGCTTGTAGCTAGATTGATAAACTGTGGGTTGACTTGTGGAGTTGATAACCTCCTTCATGTGCCCAGGTACACTGAGCTTGCCTGAGTATGCTGTTCTTGCTTCACAGTATAGGACCCAGTAATTGTGTAGAAAATTTCTAGACTCAAAATTGTCTCCCAGCTTGTGCTGACCCCACCCCATGACTCTGTTTTGTTTTGTTTTTCTCCCTCCTGTCTTGTTTTTCTCCTCACAGCCACGGTTCTCTTCATGATATTACTCTCGTGCATCCACTGCTGTTGTTTTACGAAGCCAAAGCACCAGCCCTCAAGAGTTCAACCCTTGCACAACATCTGAGGAAGAGACAGGACAGAACACACCTAGAAACATCATCTCCATCCTTCTTCGCGCTTCTCTGGAAGAATTAAGTGGGTATCAAAAACAGGCAAGGATGGGAAGTTGGTGCCATGATATTTCCAGTACTCGATTATCATCCAGAGAGCCACACCACTGCAATGCAGCTGAAAGGCACAACTCATCAAGATTCATTATAAACCAGAACAATGTAACACTGTGTGGCAGAGTTTCATTGGCAAAGAGACACAACAACAAAGCTGATATGTCCTGAAATGTCACAGTGACTCAGTTATTACAAATGTGGTTTGCGATGATGTTCACATTCAGGAGGAATGTGGGAAACAACACGGACAGTGTACATTCCAACATGTATGTGTGCTCTGGGCACGAAGTTCAGCAGAAACATTGCTTTGTTCAAAAACAAAGCGCCCCCTGCTGGCTCAGTGAAGCAAATCGTGCCAATGGAAAATGTGAACTATTCATTGTTTGATGCCACAGTTTTAAATGTATTCCCGTTATATTGTAAAATAGTAGTGTGACATACAGGAAAGTGTTTCTGAGACGCCACTTTTATGTGTTTTTGCTTCTTCTTGCTTTTGTAAATGTATCAGATGTTAAATACTTTAATTAAATAAACATTTCTTTGTTCTTATACCTAATGTAGTCACCACAGTCTATAAGAGCGAGGATCAAAATGTCATCAGTGACTCGTTGCTCCATCGTGCACATTCCTTATCAGCAGAATTCCTCTTTGCCATTGTGAGTTTAAACATTAACCATGAGCTGTTGCTTTTACTTTGAAATGGCAGTCACCTGGAAATGCAAACAGGAACTGTGCTACGTTTGCATATTCAGAACACCACTCCTGCACTCGAAGTGAAAGTAAACTGTTATTTTGGACTATTTAAAAAATCCTTTCTAGTTCGGCTTGTGGATCAGAAAAGCAGCTAAAGAGTCGAAGTTTTCTGCTGTCATACTCTGCTGTGTTTTCACGTTCTGTTAAGACTCAGTGAGCCGTTCACTTGGCAGGACATGGCGGTGGAGAGGTGAGTTTCTGAAAATGAATATGCTAGGTGACGAAAGGCCTTAACACCTGCAGATTAATGAGCCGTGCCAATAAAAATATAACATATCTGTTGCTTAGATATTTGGAGTGTGAAATAGCTTTTTTAGTTGGCAGATAATGTGCTTCTTTCAGCTCTTAGTGCCAAATAATGGTATTAATAAGATTGTGTGAGTTGGTAAATATCAGGGCAGGTTTACCTGGTTTTCATCTGGTTGATCATTCTCTATACAGTGTACTAGACCAGCAGAAACCCACAGGGTCACCTGAGGACTGGGTGGAGTGGTTCCTTCATCGTATGCATCAGGAGCCGTGGGCACTGGGTGGTATTGCCGTCATTGGAGTGTTTGTCCTGGTAATTCTCTCTCTGGTCACCTTTGCTCTGCTGTATGGATGCTGCTGCAGCTCAGGAGACGAGAAGACAAAGAGAAGGCAGAAGAATTCAAAGGACAGAGTCATTTAAGTGTGTTCAGATAAAAGAGAAAATGTACACTTTTCCACTTTTGAATTTCTTTGCTACATAGTATAGGACTCTTTTTTTTTTTAAGGTTTCTTCAACCAAAATTTGAATGAAATTAAAATGCCCATATATTTTTTCAGTATCTGCAAAAATGGCCTGACCACATCACAGACGCCAAACCATTGTTCCACTTTGTAACGCGTCATTGCCAAGCAGCTGATTGTAAGAATTGTAAAATGGTGAATGGACTGCATTTTCTACTCTGAGCACTCAAAGTACTTTTCACTACAAGAAGAAAATATTTAAATATTGCAGTTGTAAGAAAAATAGCCACTAATATCATAACCCTATTACACTAATAACTATTAAACTTTTTCTTCTAATTTATTCCAAGTTTGACTAGCATTTGTGATTTGAAATGATCCACAACCATTCTGTCAAGATACACAAATGTTTGTGTAAATTCATATGTTTATCTAGTGTACTTTTTAGGCTCACACAGTAAAAAGTAACTGTTTCGATGTGATTACACATGAAATCAGGTTGACGGATAATAAGACACACATGAATTCAATCCAGGTATTAAGGAAGGAAGGTAAAAGAACAGTGGAGGGAAGTAAAAACACAGCTCTGTGAGAAACTAACCTTCAAAATAAAATGCAAAGTGAACTTAAAGAATCAATACCTGTAAGTGAAACAATACCTAGAAATACCTGGTACAACAATAGAATGAACGCTGGACATAGATGTACAGTTACCATTGTGAAAATCTGAAGGGAAAAGTGTAGTTTGGGCAGAAAGTCGGAACTTATGGCAAATGGCATGGGATAATGAAACAAAAGGGAGACATTTATATAGGGTGCAAAACACAATAGAAGCTAAGAGGAGTAGCGGATTGCAGAGACGTGAGGAGGTTGTTATCAGTCGAATACGAACGGGCCACTGCTTTTTAAATGGTACTCTTTTTCGGATTGGGAAACATCCGACTGGGTTGTGTGATGGGTGCACTGATATGGAGACGGTTGAGCATGTACTCCTTAGTTGTAGGAAGTATGTAAGTCACAGGAGGGTGATGTGGGGTGAAATGAGTGGTGGAAGGGAACTTACATTTGAACAAGTGGTTAATAAGTTAAGTCATGGTGAAGGGAAAGTGGTGGTTTTTCGTTTTTTGAGAAGTACTGGTCTCATCAAGAGGATCTGAGGATTCAGGAGTGACGGACGGTTAACAGCCAGGAGATGACAGTAATGCAACAGTTTTGGATGCAAGCTGCCGTTAAACTTGACTGAAGAAGAAGAAGAAGAAGAAGAAGAAGAAGAAGAAGAAGAAGAATGAACGCTGGCCAACAAAATGACTACATTTCCCAGTGGCAGACCAGTTCCTTCGGTGTGTTACCGTTTTGATGACGTCAATATTCTGCGACCCACCGTTTATGCGATACTACACAGAAATGGCGAGCGGTAAAAAGAGTACGCTGCTGTCGTCTTTAGCGGTCTATGGAGATGATTCGGAGCCCGACTCTGACCCTGAACAAGAAGAATCAGGTATATAAAAGTATTTAACTTCCTCTCATACGTTTAACGACTATGAAATACTTTGCTGTAGGTCCGCCAGCCTTACTGCGGAACTTCATGTAGGAGCTAACGTTAGCATGTAGCTAGTTAGACGATCTTCATGTTCATGTTGTTTTGTTCGTAAAACATAATATGCGCATATTTCGCTGGATGGTGTTTTTTTATTGAGAGAAACTGTTGCCAAACGGAAATTAAAATGCGTCTTTAGTTAACGGAGGAGGGTGCGTTTTGTGTCAGGATACCGGGTTGTGTTCTTGACTCCGAGATAACCTTGTTCACTGGTGAGATAGGCCCTTACTCAATTCTCAAGTACGCGAGTCCGGACTTGCCGAGAGCAGGAACACGGATTCGCGATTTGTACAATTGGAACACCAGCGTACTTGATGCTGTCACAGGTCCGGAGTTTTTACTGCCGTCCCTTTGCCTGTTTAAATCATAAGAACTGTCACTACACAGAGATGTGCTTCTGAATGTGGACGATGTGTCTTCTGCATGCAGTAATCCAGTTCTGCTTGTGTTGAGTGATGTAAACAAACAATCGATCTACGCTCTTCAAACATCAAAATTGATCATTAGATTTTTTTTTTATGACACAGCAATGGTGAATGTTCCCACCCTCTGCTCTTTGTAATTTAACGCAATCTTTCCGTTTTCGTATTTTGGATATGATTTTTGAGTACACCTTCGCAGTAGCAATTGACTGCAAAATAAAGCTACCGGAAATGTACAACTCTATATCCCAGTATATTTTCCCATAGTTGTGATCCACTGGCAGTTTTCATGTTGGCCTTATTATGTTTATTTCTCATATCGTCCTTTCTTAAAGAGCCAAAGCCTGTCTGTTGGCACACAGGGAACAAATATACTGATTTGTTTCTGGACTGCTGGATTATGACTTGTGACATAAGATCATTGTAATCCTAATTTTACTAACCCATATTTCAATTTGTTAATGGACAGAATAATTATCAGATTAATCTCAAATTAAGTAGTCATTAGCTACAGATGGATGTGCGTAATGTACTCCACTGGAAGCAACTACATCAGTAGTAAAACCGCTTTACATTAATAACCCATTGATAAAATATACATCAGTATAAGAGGACCTTTTTGTCCACTGAGCTCTTCTAATTTTAAAGCTTAAAGTAAATTTCTTGAGAGCGAGAGAAATATGACATGTGGTTGTTAGTTGGCACAGAAGCTTTCAGAGCAGGGATTCATGAGTAAGTGCCAATTTAGGGAGTCGGTAAAGTTTTCAGAGTATAGTGACCATTAGTGAGATCCCAGTGTTGCTGAGCTTTAGTCTAGGCAATGAGGGCTAGAACAGACAATTTAAAACGGAGGACGAACTCTTTCTTTGGCTATTTCCTGTTGTCTCATAGGCTGGCTTACTTTGAGGTTTCAGTAGTTAGAATGATATCACTCAAAATTAGTTATGTGTGAAATAAAAGAATGATTTTGCTGCCTAATTGATTTCTTTTACTTCTGTGTATTTGTGAACCCACCCCCCGTCCCCCTCCCAATCTCGCATCAATAGGGGGGCGTGTAGGAAGCCTTGTATATCGCTATGATGAGGATGACCTGAACCAAACCGTGGACCCAGAAGAAAAAGAGTCTGCAGATGAAGACAGCAGAGAAAACAACTCGGTCAGTTTTGAATTCTGAGCTTTCTAGATTTGATTTTTACTCATCAATCAGTTCCATTCCACTGATGTCTCTAGCTGACAGAAAAACAGTTCACGTGTTGTGTGCTCTCGGAGTATGTGGTGTGTTTTGAGACATTGAATCTTCACTGAGTACAGAGGGGTTTGGAAGGCTGATTGCTTGGTTGGATCTGCATCATAATCAGGATCTCCCCACTACAAAATCAGCATCACCAAAGTACTTTTTTTTCCTCTTTTCTTTTCTTTAGTTTTAGGTTCACATTATTTGATTTCTTATAAGAATAAATGCAATCTTCAACATCCCCCAAAAGTTGATTCTGTTTATCTGGATGTAGCGTTTTCAGTGGGAGAAACGTTTCGTCACTTATCCAAGTGACTTCTTCAGTCTTGGCTGACTGCAGGTTTCAGTACATTTGCATAATGACTGAAACTAGCACGCCCGAAGGAGCAGTGGACTGGGAGATCAGTTCATTGATCATTAAGATGCAAATTCTCATGACCATTGATCAAAGACCACTAATCAATCACAAAATCTTCAACATCAAAAGGCTAACGGTTGGTTAAGACAAACCATGGTTCCTCCTTTGTTTGATGTTGAATGCCACATATGTAGTCTTATCCATGCTTGCTTTATGCTTGACCTGGGATTGCACGAATCCAATCTGTGGGTGGTCACTGACAGCCTGTCTGCCTGCAGAGAATGTTTGTGGTCAGATGGAGCCAGGGTTAAAAAAAGAAACTTGTAATACAACTGATCTTTGAGCTATCTTGTCCTGTTGTTGGTCTGTCAGGAAGCTGTCAGAAAAAAGCGAACTTTTAATGTACAAAGAGCTGAAGATTAACAGTGTTTAAAATCAATGAAGTGTCCACTGCAGGCGCTGTCTGTACTTTTACTGTTTTTACAATCTTAGATTTTTCCACGCTTCTCCTATTCCCGGTAATCTCTGCTGTCACACCCCTCCCTATTCACTTGTCAACCAATCAATATTCACATCCAGTGACGTGTATTTGGGATTTTGCGGTGGCAAGTTTGTGATGGGTGAAAACCTCCGTCTGTGCTCTGTCCAAAAGCAAACCAGAACGCAGACTGGCACATTTTTGGGACAATAAATTATGCTTTAGTTACTTGTTAGTTTTAGAGCTTATTCTTAAAGCGCTCCATTACAATGCTGTTTGTTTTCTCTGGCATCTTTGTGCAGATTACATTAGCTCACCAAAGTCGCAATATAGACAATGTTGTTAGGCTGAGAGCAGGTGCAGAGCAGCCATACAGACCCAAGCACGTATACAAGCATTATTATGAGAGCGGGTATTAGTGCTTTACTTTTTTTCCTCCATACTATTGCTGTAGCCACCTTTGCAAATGTTTTAATTTGCATCAAACTTTAAATGAAACTGTAAATTTTTGAAGTGTTCTTTGGGCACACATGTATCACACTCTTAACAGGGCTCGCAAAATTTTTCCAGTCAGGCTACCAAAATCTAACTCAGCCCTGCCCGTCGGGCTATCATAGGAAGGAAAAATATATGTCGATACTTTTGCATTCTTTCGAAAATGTAGCTGAGCAATTATGTCATTGGCATCGGTGAGCCACTGTCAATATGTGACACATTGAAATCGCGTTTGAATTTGCGCTTGTTTTTTGCTTTCACTTTGCGATCGCGTGAATGGTGTGTAGAGAGCAGCAGCACTGATTGGTGAGTGACGATTAATTGCGCACCAATTCCTCTGACATCGTCTTATCGGTGATTAGCTTACTATTCAGACATGACAAGTGAAATCTCCCACAGCAAGCTTAAACATGTGAGAGGTTGATTGCACAGAGAATCGCTGACCATTATGTAAGTACGTGCGTAAAAGCAGCAGGATTTACGCCGGTGTTTTAGTTCTGCTGAGCCAAATAAGACAGGTCAGGGTGAAGAAGGGGCAGCCAAAGAAAAGCTTACCACAAAACGGAAAAGTTATGACAAATCAGACTATAAGGCAAAAAGAAAGCGCAGCTTTTTTGGTTTCATGGACAAAAGAATTTCTGTTGGAATATGACGAGCTAAATAACATGATGTTCTGCCAGGTGTGTTGTGAGTTTCATTTGATTTCTGAGTCGACAAGCACCTTTGTTACTGGGACTAGTAATTTTAAGAAAGACCGCATCAGAACCCATGAGAAATGCAAGAAATGCATTATTGCCCAGTCTGCAATATCTTTCCAGGAACAAACAGCAATTGCAAAAAACATACTAAAAATAAACCAAGCACAACAAGAAGTCCTGAAAAATCTGTTTAGAACAGCGTACTATGTTGCAAAGAGTGAACTACCACTGGCAAAATTTAGCAGTCTTTGCAAACTTCAAAAAGCAAATGGCCTCGATCTTGGTTCCACTTACCTCTGACCCGTGACTCCAGTGGAAATGTCATATTCAGGATCTGACACAGACTGATTCATGTCCTACACAGTTCTTACAAGTTCATAGAAATTTCTGTTCAATGAGAACCAAGTATTTGAGTTGATGATTGTAATTTTTATACAGTTGTTGTGATTTGTATTTTAACAATTTTTTGATTAATTTTTGTTTCTGTTACAATATTATACTTTAATGTATAATATTGTAACGGAAACAAAACATAAAAAAATTGCTCTCTTTTTTTATTCGGGCTACCTAAATTTATTTTGGGCTACCAAAAACTGAAGAGTGCCGGCTCAAAGGGCTACCAGAGATTTTGAAATTTTGCGAGCCTTGCTTAAGTTGCTAGAAATCACAGTCAGCCTTACAACCTCCCAGAAATGCTTTATTTAAGGCCCACTTGTAGATGAAATAGTTGACTAATAGGTTTTCAGCCCAGTGCTGGCTGTTGGTCCTGCTGCTCGGCTCCCCATTATGGTCTCTTTTCCTTTTTGCCCCTTACAGTGTTAACCTTCTGCATTTTTGTTTTTATAGGAAGTGGACGAATCTGACGAGGGGAGGGACGCAGATGACTTTGAGGTATTTGAACACTGTGGGATTGATTAGATTTAGTGATTAAGGCTGATTAGTTTGTCATTCTGTTTTGTGACTAACCTGAAGCACAGCGATGGCGGCCACAACATGCAGCGATAGAGCATATTCACTAGATGGTGCTGTGGGTTCATGGATTTGAAGTACGCTATGAGTCACTGATGCATCTTCATGTGTGGCTTAAAGTGAAGAGGTGAACCAGTGGTGTTGATTCTGTAAAGCACACTACTTGGACCTTCACACCATACTAACCACACCCTTTGTATGTGTTTTCAAACTGTATGAGCCAGACGGTGTGCCAGCTTCCTGCTGCACTGTTTGGCAGAGGATGTATAGCTTGACTGAGGCTTTGATTTACAACATTTCTGTGATGGCTGTCTGAGGGGATTTTGTGAGTTTTGCCTGTTGGTTATGCCACATCATGAAGTGATGGCAATGAAAGGACATTGCAGTATGGTAATGATAACTGTGGTTCATGATGTGGTTTCTCAGTGCTGCGTGTATCAACATGTAGAGCTTTATTGCCATGGAAGAGAAACATTTCCAGGAAAGTTAATGAAACATATTCTGTGTACTTTGTAGGGAAATACTTCACTTTCTTCTGTTGGGATGTGGTGCAAAATGAAAATTAAAAAAACAATTTGCAGCTCTTGTTAACCCGTATTTTATTCACTATAGAACATAAGAATCCTATTCACACCATAAATGAAGACTGAGACCACCTCCTCCAAAGGGTCTCAGTGCAGTCCATTTGTTTTACTAGCATGATTACCATGTTCACATCTGCACAAGTGAACTGAAGTAAGGCAGAAGAAAACCAGTTTGATTTAAATGGAGTAAACCTTCAGAGAGATTACAATGATCATTTAAAGTATATTCATATAATCTGGAGAATGTCTGTGTGCAAGGGACAGTTTTTATTTTACAAAGCATCCCAACTATTTTGGAAACGGTCCTGTGTGTTTAGTAGTGTTATTTAAACCTGCTGCAAATACCTTTTGTGAGCAGTTGCATTAAAAACAGAGGTTGTCGTGTAATTTTGGCTACGTTGGGAGAGAGAGAGTTTAAAGCCTCGATGTGTTTTCTTGCTTTTGTTACCATCACTAAGATATTGTTATAAAGCAATAGGATACTACTCATTTTGGTTTCGCTAGAAATTCTGCGGTGAAATCTAGCAGCAGTGTAGTTTGCATAAGCAGATGTTAGGTCTACAGGCTAATATTTGGGTTTAGATTTAGAAACCCAAAAAGAGAGTGAATGTTTATATTAGCTTTCACTTTGTCCTCAAACTTATTGTCGTTTGCAGTTGGCTTATCTGTGAATGGCAGCTGTTAGGTGTTGGTGTGATACGTGTCTTAATTGTGAGTGCGCAGTGCCTCATTTAACCACAAAGACTGTTGTGCTCGATAGGAACTGTGGTTGGATATATCCAAGTTCTCCTTGAATGTTTTAGATTGTACTGTGATGTAGTCTGAGATCTTAAGAAAACATTGAGTTTACACATTCGGGCATGGGGAACTGTCTGCTGGAATGGAGATAAAGGGGATAATCTGTAGTGTGAAGCCTTTGTATTGTCGATAAAGTTGATAGTTCTTTTTAGATCTGTGATAGCTGTGCAGCAGAGCCCCTACTACAGGAGAACGTTTCCTTGAAGAGCGTGCATCAGAGTCACCATCGCTTAATTTCAAAGCACTGTTTCTTTTCTGTTAGTTGGTGATCAGCTGAGATATTGAGAAGAGGGGATCTGTTATGTTTCCAGTAATGCTTATTTAATAATTGCCTGGAAGTTTTAATTTTCAGTAAAATGGATTGTTCTATAATCTTGCTCATAATTTTTAAGCTTGCTGGAGGATATGTTAATTTAAAAAAAAAAAAAAATTAGACAAACTAAATGTCATAAGTGACAGAGCTCTGAAATATTTAGAGATATTATTGTTCAACATATCTGAGAGTAGTGCTCTGAATTTTGGGATCCTCACCTTCTAGTACCATCTGGTGAAAAAGTCAGTTTTGTTTTTATGTGGTGTGACCAATTTATTTCATTTACACATTTTTTTTAACCACTATCTCGACTATAATTCTCATTCTGTTACCCAAAATCTATGTGGTTTTATAAATCCAGGCAATTCTCTCCAGTGTTTCGTTTTTCCCAGTTTAACATGCTAACAAGTAGCACTAAGGTGTTAAGTGTTCCTTCGAGGCTAATGATCCTAGAGCTTGAACACTAAGGAAGGAGAAAAGCACTTGGCTGGAAAGGATGTGCAGCAGGTTAGGGTGATCAAGGATACCGATGGAAATGTCATAAACAAAAGAAGAGAGTGTATTGAGAAGGTGAAAAGAGTACTTTGAGGATCTCATGAATGAAAAAAATGAGAGAGCAGATGGAGGACAGTTAGTGAATCAAGGTCTTCAGAGGATTAGCAAGGAGGAGGTGAGGCCAGATACGAAGGGTCAAAAAGAGGTTGGCCCAGAAAAACGCTCTGAAGATAATGAACCATACCAGGAGTTGTTGAAGCTAGATTAAGGAGAGACGTGACAATCAGTCAGCAGCATTATGGCTTTTTTGCACTGCAGATGCAATGTTTCCTTCTGAGAGTGTTGAGAGTACAGATCAGAAGGAGCCTCACTGTCTTTGTAGGTCTAAAGAAAGTAAATGGTGGCGTTTGAAGAGAGAAACTGTGATACTGCATGTAAAAGTGGAAGGGAAGTGAGGGTGGTGCACGACATGTATGAGCAAGAAAGATGACAGATGAGCAGGTTTAAGAGAGCTGGAGGTACACTCTCAAGAGAAGAGGAATATTTTGGACAGAAGAATAACAGCAAGAGTAAAGGGGAAGGTTTGAGATGGTGAGCTGTGTGGTTTGGACACAGTGACGCTGAAAAAAGAACCACAGAGATCATTCATGAATGTAGTGAAAGAAGGTTGTGTGACACAAAAAGGATGCTGGTAATAGGATGAGATGGAGGCAGATGATCCACTGTTTCATCTTCTCAAGGGAGCAGCCCAAAGGAAAGGGAAACAAAATAGTAGTAATAATAATAATAGTAATAATATTCCTGCTATTGTAGCAGTGCTGAATGAGTCTGTTATAAGAGGGCAGCCCAAATGCTAAAATGCTGCTGCTGCAGAGGCCTGAGTTCAAATCCACTTGGAGACCACTTTCTGTGGGTCTTCCACACACAGAACTGTTCCTGGTGACAAACAGACTGAACCTCATGTTCAGTGGAGTGCTCCTTTTAACGAGGAAGCATATCGCTTTGTTTATACAGCTGATACAATTAAAGCAATCCGGTCAGTCTTAAATCGTTTTTTCCCAGTTTGCTGGATGTATACAAAACGCTAACAGCTGATATTTCATACAGCTGTCTCACATAAATCCCATCAAGAAAGAAGAAAATGTAGAATTAGAAGTAACCCCCTTATGGTGTATTCAACGCCATATTCTGTTATTATGATAATGTAGCATTGGCCTTTATTACACTGTTTCCAGTAATTAAAACTTAAATGAGTAGATACGTGATCAGCGTCCCTCCAGTGAATAATCTTTTGGTATATGTGTGGTTACAAGTCCGTGTTTACTCATGCTAGACAGATGGCTTGACGATGTGCACAGTTAGCTGAAATTAGAAGGGCCTGTTGTTGATCTGAAAGGGTGGTAATATTTTTGGTGTGGCCTTGTGAGACGGCTAAATTTATATTCACTGTACAAAAGTCCTCAAAAGCTGCTTACTGTGACCTTACTGTGAGGGCGAGCTAAAAGGGGAAGCCGTGCCAACTGGAGGATCAGTGAAGTGATGAGTGTGGGGTTTTTTTTTTTGTTTGGTTTTTTTTTTTAATTAATTAATTCGTTTAATTTTAAGCTCTGTATCAAATAGTCAAATTTTTTTTTGCTGGGGTTCTTTGCTGTATTTACATGTCTTTCTGCCGTCCTCCCTCCTCCACCACCACCTTGTGATTTGGCCCACTTCAGGACAGTTCTTTGATGTGCCTGTGCAGTTGCTAGGTGACGGCATGATTCCTGTGAATAACAGCGCTGTTCTTTTGTGCTGAACCTGTGTTATGCCCACAATGCTGGCACAATAGGCGGCATATTTTAAGGGCTGTACAAGACTCCTCCTCCTGCTGAGCCAAGGCGTTCTCTGGAATCTTCTCTAAGATTTACAGTTCAGGCTTCTGTTACTGCTAAGAAACTGCTCTGTAGTGTGTGAAGTCTGCTTCTGGGTTCTGTGATTTTTAGGTTTCAGGTATACAGAGAATGAGCTTTTGTCTTTAGCTCTGTCTTTTTCACCTGTACACCTGTACAGTTTTCCAATTTCATTGCACCTGTACAATGGCTGTGCAGTGACAATAAAGAGTTATCTAATTATCTAACACCTTTGATTAGATCATTCATCTCACCAACTAAACCCTAGCAGGAATCATGGTCTCATAATATCTATGACTGATGCTGCATTTATTTCCCACCATCGAGCACTAATGATAAAAAGAGGCCTAAATGTCCCCTGTTTTTTCATTTTTCTGCCCTCCCACTCTCACCCCTTTTCTTGTGATTTCTAGATCTCAGAAGCAGAAAAAAAGGACCCCAAGGAGCTAGTTGGTGAGTATACGCATGAACTCGCATGTGCTCACGCAGAATATAGAGCAGCAATTAAAGGATTAAAGTAATCCTTGTGCTCAATCTTTAACTTTGAACAATAAACTGACCCTACACAGAAGTATTAGCCCAAGCCTGTGATATATTCCACAGGTTGTCCACAAGCTCTTAAAATGGACTTGATTTAATATAAAATAAAAATTATTTATTTATTTATTTATTTATTTATTTATTTATTTATTTATTTATTTATTTATTTATTTATTTATTTATTTTTGTGGAACCCGACTTACAAAATTAATTTCTTCCCAAGGGTCTTTCGTAAGTCGAAAATTTTCGTAAGTCGAAGCACCCATTGCACGTTTTGAGTGAGGCGGTGCTGAACGATAGGCTAATTGCTAACTAGAGCCACAATGCGTCGTTCAAGTGGAACAGCGAAGCGCAAGTACGGAAGCCAAGGGGTTGTCACATGATTCGGAAGGCATTGTGGGCATTGTAGGCTTGGCTGAGCCAATCAGAGCCAGCGGTTTCGTTACTCAGGCATTTTGCCGTAACACGGGCAGAAATATTGCCGTTCAGTGCCTTCGTAACTTGAATTTTTCGTGAAACGGGGTATTCGTAAGTCAGGGTTCCACTGTATATACAGGGTGGGCCATCTATATGGATACACCGTAATAAAATGGGAATGGTTGGTGATATTAAAGTCCTGTTTGTGGCACATTAGTATATGTGAGGGGGCAAACTCCTCAAGATGGGTGGTGAC